GAGAGCTCCAAGGTCCCTCTTCTCAGAATTCCCGAATTTCACCAGCCAAACTTCTGGATCCAACACTGCGATAATACCACTGGCGACAGTTCCGAGCACCCTCTGGTCAAATAAATCCAAGCAGCCGACGATCCAATTCTCCACACGAATACCTACCTCATCTCCATACAGAGTCTTCTGCACCTTCAGACCTCGACATCTCCGCAGCTATGGCAACCCTCGGAGGCTACCTCAACAGTACATCCCCCCAAAACCACCAACCTTGAGTGCTGCTTTCCCGATGACATACTGACCATCCTCTCCCTAACAGAGAAAGTCCTCATTGTGACGTCGGACTCACGAATCTTGGTGGGCACATTGGAAGCTGCGGATCAGTCCACGAACCTCGTAATACCCCTTCCCCTGCCCCCTTCACAACCCTCTCTCGAGTCTTCTGAGCTGCACCCAGCTAACACACATCTTGCGCCCCAGGTTCTCAGCAGTGCCCAAGAGCGAGTCATCCAAACCCCCGAGAGTGGCGAACCCTCTGTCGAAGTGCCCCTCGGCCTCTATCTCGTCCGAGGCGACAATGTCTGCACGATCGGCCTGGTAGACGAGGCGCTAGACGAGAGCATTGACTGGACCCAAGTCAAGGGTTCTGCTATTGGAGGAACCAAGCACGTATGAAAGCCACGCATACATACAGGAAAAGCAAAACAAGAGCAGAGAGATGGTTCTCGAGAATGAGAGTGACACACCGAGTCACGGGATGTTTGATTACGAGCGGGATACCCAAATGTTGGGAAGGACATGAGATTGCACTGCTGCCATTGAGACAGGCAGGCAGGCAGACAGGCGCGCGCGCATTTTCATGCACATATGCACATGCGCATGATCACACACCTACACACACAAAGAACAACGGCGTTTGCACATATTTGGGGGTTGCTATAGAATGATATTGGGTTTTCCTACGGGGTATGCGCCTGCCTTTCTTCTTCTATCCAGATCTCTCCTCTATGCTGCTACAGTCTCAAAACCATGTTTGTGCTGACACGAGACATCAACAACAAAAGAGCCCTCACGCCTACACACATAGAGAAGGTGGTGGCTGAAAATATACGTCCCTTGTCTCCTTATCTTTATCCGAAAACTCTCTTCATCAGGTCTGGGGCAAACAATTCCTCGCCGGGGGACTCAACCATCCTGTTGACCCTGTTGCCCCTGCTGGTGCTGAGCCAGCCGCCAGTGTCGCCGGGGACCTCGGCCAGGGTCAGGACGTCGACGGCATCGCCCGTCTCGCTGGTCTCGAGAGCGGCCTCGTTGTACTTGACGCGGAGTCTCCGGTCAATGACGTGCATACCGCGCGTCCACTGGCCCGTGGTCTCGATGCGGATGTCCTCCGGCTCCACGCTGGCCTTCCACTTGGGGTCGGACTGCGTCAGAAGGTACCAGACCGTCAAGGGGTCGTGCAAGGAGAGACCGGGCTCCTGTCCGTCGCCCTCCATCTCGATGATCTTGTCAAAGCACTTTGACATGAAGTGGTTGACCCACTGGCCGAGGGGGCTTCCGGACGCCACAATAGGCTTGATGGTCTCGGTGAAGTAGTTCTTGCGGAGCAGGTGCGGAGTCGTGATGTCGAGGGGAAACAGCGTCAGCTTGAGCTTCTTGGACAGCCTGGCCGGGTAAGGGGGCAGGGACGACTTCTTGTCCGAGATGGGCGGCATAGTGGAGCGCGGGGTCGGGGAGGTCAGGGCGAAGACGCGCGCGGCGGCGACGGCGTCGGCAACGGTGTTGAACTCGCCGTGCGGGGTGATGTTGCCCTCGACGTGGACGGCGCCGCCCATGACGCAGAGCTCCTTGACGCGGAGGAAGGTTTCCGGGTCCTCGGCGGCGGCGAGGGCGACGTTGGTCATGGGGCCGACGACGCAGATGGAGATGGTGTTGGGCTCGTTCTCCTTGAGGATGCGCAGGATCTCCTTGTGGGCGACCTGCTTGGCCGGGGTGAAGTACTGGTTAAAGGGCGAGGGGTCGTGGTCCACGTTCTTCTCGGTGTGGAAGAGGGACTGCCAGCGGTCGTCCGGGGAGAGGTGGGGGTGCTTCTCGTGGACGCCGTGAAGGCCGTCCAGTCCGTCTGGAGGAGAGTCAGGAGACGGAAGTTGGGAGAGGTTGAACCGAGGAGTGTGTCTTACGGAAGTAGTCGGCGGCCAGCTCGTCGTCTTCCAGAGCGTGCTCGGCACCGACTGATACGATGGGCTTGTAGGCCTTGAGGGACTCGAAGCCCTCGGGCTTTCCATTCTCCTTGCGCCATGCAATCTCCTTTTCCAAGACGTGGAAGAGGGCAACGACGTTCTTCAGGCAGCTTCATCGTAAACGATTAGACCAAGGGTTTCTTATGTTTATTTGCGCAGCATGAAACTCACCTCTGGAGAGGCACGTTGCCGTAGGTAACTGAGATCATCATGACCTCGAGCTCCTCAGGGGAGGCCGAAAGGGCCAGGAGCATGGCCATGACATCGTCAATGCCTGGCAGAGATGTGTAAGCCTACTTGCACATCTCAGTACTTTTGGGGGGTTCGCTCATTGATATCTCACCTGGGTCGGAATCGATAATGACGCGGTTCTTGGGAGCCATGGCTGCGATGTTTGATTCAGAAGAAATCTCTTGAAATTGGGTTGAAAAGTGTTCAATGAAGACGAGAATGACTTCGTCTCAAATTACACAGTTGATTAAATCACTTAAGAAAGCTGGGGAAAACATTAGTGATATAGGAAACCAAATGTTGATGGGGGAGTGGTGGGGGGAAGCGGACATCTGCGGGCACGTGAGCTAAGCTTGAACGGAGGTGTCCGGTCTCCGCCTGTCTCCGGTGTAGATGCCTTGAAATAAGCAACCCGGCGCCCCGGGAGATGTGATGTGGCCTTGACGGTGTGACTCCGTCGTTCCTGCCTTCTCGCCGGGTCTTTTTTGTGTCAATAGGAAGGGCGTCGGTGTCGCATTGAGAAGTTGGCATAGTTGAGACGGGCGGGCGACCGAGCGGTCGAACCCCCTCATCGTTAGAAGCGTCAAATGCGCCGCCGTCGAGGGGGATCAATGGTGGGGTTGTGGTTGTTGCGGTGCAAATGATGGAGAGAGACATGACACGCTAAGCCGTTTTGAGCCACCGAGATCCAGTTGTTGTCGATAAGCTTGAGGCAGGTCGCTGCGGGAAACCTTGGAAAATAGGGACTTTGGGGGACTTTGGGGGACTTTGGGGGCATTGGGCACCTGAGGTAAGGTAGGCGGGTAAGCTGCCCCCAGCTCTTATCGGGAAAGCCAAGGGAAAGGAATCTGACATGCGGCAAGTTGCAACTCTGGACCTTGCAAACATTAGATGAGACGTGGGAAACGGAAGGGCCTCGGGAAGTTTACTTGGATGAGGGTACCTTACTCACGTGAACCTACCTAAGGAAAGCTGTCTGCAAAAAACCTATTTATAATTCTACAATTTGTGCTTTTCGGTTTGACAGGCCGGGCCCGCGGGATATCAAGGTAACCTCCGAGTCCGACAAGTCTCCAATGACATTGTTTGGCAGTTGTCAATTGGCTTGATGCCCTGACAGCAAGCACTGTGACCTTGACATCGTTCCGCCCAATCACGGAGAGTTCTTATGGAGGGAAGTCATCACAGTCACGTGTAAGTGACACCTTCCAGGTTGGTGATTGCTCCCTTGTCTTCCATCAGTCGTTGCCTCGCAAGCACGTGACCTGTCCCCAATTTTCAAGTTCTCCCGAGTCCGTGCTGACAGCCGAGCCCCAAAAGAAAAGGCGGGTCCACGTCCCTCAACCCCGTGGAAACGCGAAGCTGTCACTTTGGAGATGCAGGAAATTACCTAACAGCACCCTGGAGATAGCCTCATCTACCTCCATTACCTACCCTTACCTCACCTACCTCCCTTGCTTAACTCAAGGAAAGAAACGTCAGATTGCTGAGAAGAGCAGCCGTACAGCAAGTAAGTACAATTTTCTCCTCAATTGTTCTTCTTCCTCGTCGCATCTCACATCACACACTCCCTCGTCTTGCCTTTCATCTTGCTGCTTCATCTGAGCTCGGCCAGCCAGAAACACATCCCTGGGGACCTGCGGCAAAAGAGGACACCAATCCTCATACGCAATACCCACTCCTGGAGACTCGGTCCCGACGCAGGTCAGGGTTTGGTGCAGCACCTTACAGATTGGATACCTGGAGCACATAGCAACACCGAGCAGCCGCAGCAGTAGCAGCAGGTTACCCGTGGGACCTCTCCAGCGGTCCAACCTATTCCCTAGGTCGGCTTTTGCATCCGTGGCATGAACCCCGGGCGCTTGCCTCAGCCAAAAACCCCCATTTGCTACTGGATCTAGCCTCTACACCTTGGACCTGCCCTGGACCACTGGCGGTACCGCAGGCACAGTTTGCTGAGAAGCCACCTGGTAACTTTTTTTTTCGGCCTGTCTCTCCTTGCCAAGCTACCTGCATCTGAACACGACATCCAAGCCGTCTTTCAACCGCGTGGTCGAAACGCCTCCTCAATCGCCCTTCTTCCTTCTTCACTTTTACCCAATTCTTGTTGTTTCTCCCCTTCAACAAACCCACCAACCCCCCGAGCATCACCGCTCTCACCTTGCCTTTCATCCTCAAGCAACCCATCCATTGTTGCGTCCACATCTCCCCTTGCGCACCTTCCACCTGTATGTTCTCCGATCGGCGCTTGCCCCAGACATCTCGGATCATCTGCTCCCGTGTGCAGAGCTCAGCACAAATTGGACTCCATTGCTAACTTGTCCATTATCCAGTCATCCGAATCTCTCTCTCTCCACAACTTCTCCATCAGTGAGGCATCGAAGATACACCGTGACCCTCAACGGCACCCTGAGCACTTGCGGCCCTTGATCCGACAAACCGTGGTCTTTGCTGTTCTCAACTGCACCAAGTTGCATAATCTACCATACCCCTTAATACCCATCTGGTAGCGTTTCTGCGCCATCCACAATCGCAACAATGACAGTCTCCGACTTTCTCAACACCCAGACCGTGGGCGGTTACCTTGTCTGCTTCCTCGTCGCTGGTGGCTTGATCTACAACTACTCTGGCAACAAGAAGCCTGCGCAGATTGCCAAGACTGCCAAGGCATATGTTGAGCCCAAGAAGGACACCAACGCAAAGAAGCAGCGAAAGGCTGCCTTTGCTTCACAAAAGCCCGAGGAGAAGGCTTCCACGAGCGCAGTCGATCCCTCTAGCACATGGCTGAGCAATGACCCTAAGGAGGAAGTTGATAATGCCGATTTCGCCAAGAGGATGGCCAGTGTCAAGGAGGGCAAGAAGTTTGATGGCAAGTCTGCTGCTGATGCCAAGAAGAAGAAGACCAAGTCCGTCAAGCAATCGCGTGCTGCCGAGAAGAAGCCTGTCGAGGTCACCGAGGAGGAGGAGGAGGAGCCCGCCGCTTCCTCTGCCCCCGCCGTCGAGGCTGTTGAGGAAGAGGAGGAGAGCTCCCCTGCCGCTTCCCCCGAGGTCACCCCTGCCGACCCCAGCGGCGTCAATGACATGCTCGAGCCCACCGCATCCGGCCCCTCCGTCCTCCGCCTGACCGGCACCGATAAGGAGAAGCCCAAGGCCAAGAAGCAGAAGGCCCCCGAGCAGGCTGAGACCAAGAAGCAGCGCCAGAACCGCCAAAAGGTTGAGGCCAAGAGAGCCGCCCGCGAGGAGGAGGAGAAGGAGCGCAAGGTCAAGCTCGAGAAGCAGCGCCGTACCGCTCGCGAGGCCGCCGGCATCCCCGCCAAGGATGGCTCCCAATTCATGGCCAGCGTCAACGGCAACAAGTCCGCCTGGACCGCCGGCTCCCCTAACGGTGCCTCTGCTACCAACGGCACCTCCACTGCTGTTCAGCCTCTCGACACCTTCGATGCTCCGGCTCAGAACGGCACCTCTGCTGCCGCTCCCGCCCAGACCTCCAACAACTGGATCTCTTCCCTTCCCTCTGAGGAGGAGCAGATCCAGCGCCTCAAGGAGGAGGACGAGTGGAACACTGTTCCCGCCAAGTCCAAGAAGTCCAAGAAGGAGAACCGCTCCCCTTCTCCCGAGGCTGCCAAGCCTGCCGCTGCCGCCGCTCCGGCTCCGGCTCGCCCCATCGCCCAGGCCGTTCAGAAGCCTGCCTCCAATGGCAAGGTTGCAAAGCCCGTCACGTCCAACTTTGGATCCTTCTCCGCCCTCAGCACCGAGGAGGAGGAGTGGGATGTCTAAGCGGTCACTACACCTACGATTGTCATTCTCCAGGATATTCCGCCCTCCCCAGATGCGCTCTTCTCAACTACACCATCGTCTCCGCGCCGTCTGGATGTCACTTGTTATTTTAACTGTACAATACTTCTTCCTGGAGTGCGGCACACCTCAAAAAACTCTCTCTCACACACATGCAATCCTTTTGACGCCATGAAGAAGACGCCAGCATTGGTTCGATCACGCTTCCGCGAGACGGCGGCCTCATCGAGTAAAGGCGACATGGCTTTGCTATCGCATACACGCAAACAAAAACGATCTCGGCCACGGCATGAGATCTTGGAGTTGGGGGATTACATTGGCCAGCGGGCTGAGTGATTTGCACATGCTTTTCTTTTTTTTTTCTTCTTCTTCCTTTTCGGCCTCGAGACCAGCCAGCTATTGATGGAGGGGGGAAACGAAGGAGAGAGTGACGCAGGATCACGATGTATACGAGGAAGTTGAACAAAAGAGAGAATGGGTCTTGAGCGGGAAGAGGAACCAACAAAATATGAAACCTTTCCTTTAGGGCAGATTGGTTGGATCACATGGGAAATGGCCATGCCCCTACAGTCGTTGTGTGCTTTTTTCAGCACAGGTTCCCGCCAGATAACTTTTCAATGAGTCTTCTTTCCCACCAGTAAAAAAAAAAAAAAAAGACCACGTCCGTTTCCCAGGCAGTCGTGACTTGTCTATGACTTGTTTTGTTGTCATGTTACCGGGATGGTGCTGGATCAAGTGATGACATGGTAATGTGCATCATGTTATTTCTCCGCGTTTTTTTTTTATTATATTTTCTGCAGTGCACATGCTGGCGCTCCCCCACCTCGCTATTTCGTCACGATCTCTGCCCACTAAGAGGAGCCTTTATGCGTTGTAGTAGCTGGATCGTCCTTTGATCGAAGCTAGGAGGGTTGATCGTGGCCGGGGGTGTTGGTCGGGGGGGGCAGCATGTGAGAAGAGAAGTTGGAGTCGGGCGGGCTTTCCGTGTATTCCCCAGCTGGCTGACGCTACCCACCGCCCGCTTCCCGCGACCCAAGGTACAGCGCATCTTTTGCTAGCGTTGGCGGAGGGATGGGAGAGGGTGATTTTGGGTTTTCTCTGGTACTTTTTTTTTTTTTTTTTTTTTTCAAAAATGGTGAAGGGGGGAACGAACGGTCGACAGATCTCGGGTGGTGGTGCACCTGAGTTTTGTCGGGTTTGTGGAGTTGGGTTTTGGGGCCTTGACCGCTCTGTGGCTTACGATGTATCTGGTGGAGGAGAAGGAGGAAGAGGAGGGGGGGGGTGTGTGTGCGAGGGATGGCTTAGCTGCGATTCGGGTTCTAGACATGCATTCGCGTGAGTAGATAGGATGCTGGCAAGTGAGATGCGTGTTCTAGATAACGTGATAATTAAGAGCTCCCCATGTGGCCAGCTGGTTAGTTTGAAGCGGGATGTTGTTCCCGAGGCGGTGGGAAGGGGACATCGCGGCATCACGGGTTGACGGATAGACTCTGAACTTTCCAAGGACTTTGAGCTACTAATGTCGGGTAGTGAGTGCAGTGTAGTTGAGACCTTGGTATAGGTATGCTCGTGGGGGTGACTTGCTCTGCGGGACAAGACGACACGCAGAGGTGAGACATGCAGTTTTCACATGTTTTGTTCATGGCTACAAGTGGACGATGGGAAGAGAGGTTTGTTGGATCCCATCAAGAGGGAGAGAAACGGAGTGACGAAGCGATGGGGAGAACGGGAGGAGGCGCTTATGTCTCTTACGGTCTCCTGTCAGAATACGCTGCGAGTACAGCCCGGGTATGGAGAGTTGCTCGGATCAAAGTGTGCGAGAAGAGTAGAGGGCAGAGGGTTGTGTGATGCAGATTTCGGCCCGGTTGACGTTTACGACTTGTGTGAGGCGTGATCCGTGTTGCTTACAATGGCCCGTTTCGTTGGCTGTGTGCGTTTCTCCGTCCTGATGTGTTATGGACCATAGTTTTAAACAAGTCAAGCCGAGACGGATTGGGCTGGCGTCTTTACGAAGTCTTCAAGAGGAGGTCCTGTCTCTTCGGCGGAAGTGCTGGTAGAATGTCATGTTTCCGTAGCCGACCTTGGTGCGTGCCGTATGTGATTCAGACGAGGAAATATCAGTTGGTATTGTTAACGTGTTGGGATCGAATCGAACCTCTTCACACCCTCTTGGACAAGATCCGATAATCAAGGGAGTCTATTCGAAAGCAAATCCCTACGAGAGAACACGAAAGTTACTCACGTTTATGCTGGTGGGGGTCTTCTTGCCTTGGTTGCTAGCTAGCCATTTGGAGGGCCGCCACGAAAGGCTGATTTGACTTTTTCGAGGAGATGGTTGTCGTTCTTCCACATGATAGCTCCCGACGTCGGTGAAGTGGCATGGGAGCGTATCCATGTCCGGTTGCCCATTGTGGAGGGGAGCACGGGTAACATTTACCTGGTGGTTTTGCAGCACTGACAGTGGCAGTTCATCCGCGGGAATACTTACATCTCTGGCGGGATCTACTCCCTGCGGCCACGCTTGCGCATCCGCAGGCGATCAAAACAGTGGAGATTTCCCTATATCCTATAAAAGAACTCGGGTGTATCATACCGTAGTTTTGTGGCGGACGGGCGGTCGATCAAAAAGAAGCTACCGAGCGTTCGTTGCGCGTTTGCGTACGCATTGAAAGCAAATCAAGGGTCCAGCTGCCGTGCAACTCGTTGCACCCGTAGAAACCGGGTACGCGAGGAGAGTTTCCGCAGTGGTAGGAGCTGGAGGGGCTGAGTCGAGTGAGGTGGAACATGAGAGGGGGACAACGGAGCATGATTATCGATAGGCGCAGTTGTTCGATAATATCCCTCTCAGCAAGGGACCCTCGACGAAATGCATTGGTAGCAACCACCGACACTGACGGTTAGGTTAGGTAGTTAGGTTAGGTAGTTAGGTTAGGCTAGAAAGCGTGGCAGACATGAAGTAATCAACCATGGGCGGTCCACCAGACCTGTCAATCAGATCAAAAGCGGATCATCAGTAATGCCCAAAACCTCAAAGGGAGCCGGCCAAAGCTTGAGTTGCAAATGGCATTGAGAGTTGAGAAATCTATCGGACCATTGGCACTGCCCATGGATCAGGGAGTGCTACAGGCGGAGCCGACGGCGGCGACGGCGCGCGCGCAAGGAAAGGAGGTGAGAGCCGTCGAGGTAAAACCTCACCTAGCGCGCGAAACGCTGAGGCGTTTTGTGGTGTAGCCTGCCTCACAATGGTGCAGCGAGTGAGACAAGACTTGACAGAAAGATACAGAAGGCAGCGTGCGCAGGCAAACGTGCGCTAGGGACGCCGACTCCCTACTCCCCTCGGAGGCTTAGCAGAGAGGGTTTAGACCGCCGCCCGTGGCCGTACGCCATGGTCAAGTTGAGAACAGCCAGTGATCATTGCGGATTGGTCGTAGGAGGGGGGCTTGAGACATCAACGGTGCTGGCTGGACGAGGTGCCAGTCGCAAGTTGCCAGTTTAGGGGATGCGGCGTCCGCGGCGTTGTTGGGCGGCGGAGGCCGTCTTGTCGGACTTTTCTGGTGGAAATGGGAGAACAAGATTGAACAATTTCGTTTTACGGGATGTCGTGTTGTGGCAGTCCGGTTGATGGTTCGGGGTCCGGGTAACTGAGCTGAGCAGAAAAGTGAAATTAAGGCCGGACACTTCGACGCTTCCGGGTCAATTGTCCATGACTAAGTTGAAGTCGGTGGTAAATGATGACATATGGATCATGAACTGATTGCTCGCGCGATGGGCGCCATGGAGAAGAAATCCCCCTCTAGGAACCAATCCGTCATGACCAAAGGCGCGACGCGGCGCAGATTGGCCGAGTTGCAGATTCATGGAGCTCCGTCCCGCTTCCGGGCCCCCATAGCCTGTAGGCCGTGGTAGTACGGCGTAGGGTCGGGCTGGCAAGACTTGCGCGGCATTGGGCAATTGTTTGTCGGAGGGAGGGTTGCGGTAAATGGGTTCATAGTCGTGGTGTGTGGTGCATGTGCAGGTGCATGGTATTCAAGTTCGAACACTGGTCAATCTGGTTCCCCGAGCCTAGCACTCTCCCATTCCTTGAGGGGTCGGGTTGTCGTGGAGAGGGAGGGGAGCTTAACAGGGTCCATAGATGATAGTGGCATAGGGGGAGCGAATGATCCGACCTAGGTACCAGGTACATCGGCTCTCCCACCTCAGATAGCGTAATGCGTAAAACAAGTGAAAGTCTTGGCCGATTGAGATCTTCCGTTCTTTCCTTGCGCCGCCCCGATATGAACGGACCTTTGCTGGTTGTTTGCAGTGCTCGTGGAGGACGATTTATCAAGAGGAATGAGGAACAAGCCAGTTGCAGACGTTGAAGGCGCGCGACAAGACGGATCATCGGCCAAGATGGGACTGGCAGGCTTGAGGTGGTGCGTTGCGTTGGCAAGTCTACCTCGGTCCACGCGCGTCTTGGACAGAGACAGTCTGACTGACTGACATACTCAGAATTCGAGGATTCGGGCGAGAGGCGGTGGGAAACAGAGCACGTTGGACGAGGAATCGTTGCGGTGCAATGCAATGCGCTCCGTGGGGCAGCGGCACCTTTGTCTGTCCGACTTCCAAGGTTGTCCGTCTTGACCTTTGACTTGGCCGCCAGTGACGCGAGGTCGGGTAACCATGCGCAGCAAACAGGCACACTCGATTCGCATTTTGATTCGACTTGCATCGTGTGGGACAGCGGGCGATGGATGGACCAAACAGCGCACAGCAGCCAGACGCAGGCACGAGGCACAGAGCTGCCCCGGATTGGCGTTTCCTAGGTACTTGGCGTTTCCGGAGGGGGAAGGCGTAGTAAGTACCTTGTTCTCGTTCTGGTCTGTTCAATTGCAGCCTTTGCAGGACGAGACGCAGCTTGGAACTGTGTAACCGTAGTGTGTACGTGTACAGCAGACGACGACGACGGTTCGCAGTGTTGTGAGTGTTGTGGAATGGAGGCGCATTTAGATGCATGGAGACGACGACGGGTCCGCCCAGGCGCCTCAGACAGGTCCAACTTCACACCATTGATTGCAATGATTGGCATGCCCAACTTAGATTGAGCCATATCTGGTAGGCCGGGCTGCGTGCGTGCTCGATCCATAGTCGGGGGTGTCACGGTGTCCAGGACCCGTCCGCAGGCCGTGGAGCGCAATTTCTCGCGATCATCTGGCGTAAAGTGGACGTTCGTAAAGCGTCTGATGAAGATGCGCTCTGCAATCAAGCCAACGACTCAGGCGTTGGAATGAGATATGGTTGATACATTTTCCGACGCGTATCCAATGTTCCAAATAGCAGGGAGAAGGGTGACAGATAGGTCAGTAGAGTTTGAGGGATCCGAACTGTCGGATCCGATCAATTTGGATATCGGAGGTGGACTCAAAAGAGGAAGATGAGGAGAAGACGAAGAAGAATAGGGAAGAAGAGGACAGAGGGAGGCAGACAGAGGGAGGGGGTGTATGAGGTAGAGGTAGAGGTAGAGGTACATGCACCAGGTACGGAGTTCACAGTACTTGTCTTCGCTTCGTGGCTTCCTCTTCCTCTCCCCTTACCCTTCTTTCGCAGGCTTGCCAGGCCCCCATGCCCCCCGTGTCCCTCTCTCAAATCGCTTCCCCCGGTTGCCGTCGAGAAACCCACAATTTCCCCCCAGTCCACGCCTCTAAACTAGTACACTGTACCTTGGACTCTCGGTCTCCATGCGACTGGTACCTCCACCCACTCCCCCCTTCATTGATTGCCCGATGGGAAAGAAGGAGGGAGAGGGAGGCCGAGGAGGAGGGACCTGCCCACCTGTAGAGAGGAGAGACTGGGCGAGTGTGAAAGTAGGCGCTACTTACCTTGTCGTCCTTACCTTGCGCCTCCCTTTTTCGAAACGTCGTCTCTCTAAGCACCTCACTTCAACTCCATTTCGCCTTCAATTCACCCGTCCAATTTTCCCTCACTTCTTTCCGCTCTCTTTCTTGTCTTTCCCCCCCTTCCCTCTCTTCTCCCTCTTGAATGTCCAGTGTGTCCGTGTCTCAATTCCTCATCCCAAACCCGCCGCCCGATACCGCCAATCGAATCCATCGCCATCCTTCCATGTGGTAGCGCAATAGCAAGAGACAGAGAGACAACCAGCACCCTATACACACTCTCGAGAGGAATATACCGCCATAGGCCAACGTCTTTTCGCCCACGCGACCCAAGCCTCCGAGCCACCCTCATCTTCAACCTCAATCATCTGGTCCTCCCTACTTTCTAAACAGTTCCGTCCGAGCCCGCCCGCCCGTCCATCCATCTTCATCCGCCACTCCGACCGCCGTCTTGCGCTACGGTCCTATTATCTCACCCCAAGGGCCAAGGTACTCTGCAACCTCTGCCTTTACTCGCCTACTGAGGTGCATTGCAAGTTTCTTTTTTAGTTCCTGCCAGCTGGATTGGACTGCAGACTGCACCGGTTGCTGTCACGCCTGCGCCTGTGCTTCTTCCTCTTACACGCACCCCCTTCGAGAATAGCACCCGCCCAGGACATCACTCAACCTTGAAACCTCACTCTGTCCTCCGTCCTCCCAACACCAAACGTCGATACTCCCAGTACCTGGAGGGGTCGCACAGGCCGAGCCGCTTTTAAAGCATTTCGCGCCCCCGTACCGAAACTGTGTCTTGGGCTCTGCGCCGGTGATTCACTTCCATGGCGCTTTAGACTTCCCAAGCTCCCTCTGGCGCTGGCACGCGGTCCTTTCCCTTCCCTGAGCAACTCATCTTAGGTTCAAAGGCGCCGTATCCTACCTTACCGTCCCGTTCCCGTACCTCACCTTATCCTGGCTACCTTGAACATCCGCTTGGCCTGTTTGGACCACCTTTCCTCCTCGTGGTCCCTGTCACTTTCCTCCCACTTGGACACTTATTTCCTCCCCGCGAACCACTCGATCCAACAAGTCGACACCCCGTCTATATCACCCCCCTCGACACCCACAATCAACACACACACACACACACACACACACACACACACACCACCTACCTCTTCGAACACTCCCCGAATATATCCCTTGCCTTCCATGTGTACTAGAAATACCGGGCACCGAATACACTCCAGACCCTCTCCCCACGCCGGGGTTACGGCCATACCGCAAACATGTCATTACCAGTCGCCATCCAGTCGGCGATTTTCTACTACCTCGCATGTACACCATGTAACGAGATGAAGGCTTTCCGAAAGGCCAAGAAGAAGGCCAAGGAGGATAGGGAGGTGAAGAGGAAAATAGAGATGGAGCAACCTGGACTGTACCGTCATCCGGACCCCTTTCACACAAACCCATTTTGGGCCGAAGAGATGGCAGCAGGACCACACCTACCCAAAAAGTCAACCAACAAGAATTCGAGCCAGAGAGGTCTGGCGAGTGCAGGCCGGACGAGCACAGCCGCGAGTTTTGGCGGAGCAAGCACCGTTGCCGAGAGTACTAGCCCTGCGACTCCGACAATAAGTGCCTCAACGGCTGGTCGAAAGCTGTCCGGCGAGGGTTGGAATAGAGAGCTGTACCAACGAGAGGATGAGGAGCTTTGGGGTCACAACTTCACCGGCATGGGTCACAAGCTGATGGACAACATCGCAAAGGCCGGAAACACGGCCGGACGCTACATGGAGGAGAAGTTGGGGCTGGAGAAGCCCATCACCGATGAGGACCGCGAGAACTTTTACCGTACACCGAGGAACCCGCCCGTCAACGAGTACCACCCGCCGATAGTAGGAAGCAAGCCCTCCCGTCCGGACGCTCTCAAGTGGATGCTACAGCCGCCGCCCCCTGCCAAGCTTATGGAGGGCCGCATCCCCGTCGCCAGAACCCAGAGCACCAGCACAGTTGGAAGCAGGAGAACAATGGCGTCTGAGGACACTCCTTTGGACAGGCTGGTCCGTGAAAAGGCGTTGAAGAAGAAATTGCGGCAACAGGGAGAGAAGCTGCCCTTGGAGGAGACACCTTCGGAATCGGAGTTGATCGACTCACTTATCGGCAGGCGGTCACGGCGGACAACGGTATCGAGCAGGGGAATGTCTAACCGTAGCCGCAGCCTTTCGCTAGATTCCGAAGTATCTTCAGACGGCGAGCTGGTGGAACGTCGGCGCATCGCCCGTGCTCGACGTGTTCCCATGACGCCCGAGGAGACCTCTTCAGACGAGGACGACTTTGTCCAGCACCGCACATGGGATTCGTTGGGAAAGTCGAGTCCTCCCCGACGGCCTAAGCTGGAGACCATTAAGAGCTCCCGCTCCAACTCCAGGCAGGCATTAAAGGCACGTCCCAACGGCACGAAGCCAGATGTTGCATCTAAGGACAACTCTGACGTCACGCCCAAAGCGTCTGCCAACCCTATCATCAACCGCACCGCGGATGAGAACACACCTACCACTGTCACCGCTACCACAACGGTATCATGATGTTGGACACCTGCCACGAACTAGATCGAACAGACAGCCGACCAGAACACACTTTCTCTAGTTGTCTCTGGAATTCCCCGTCATCATTTGACGAGGGTTATTTACTGCATTATTTACTCCCAGAGAGGGGCATAGCGTTCATGGGAAGGAGCATTTGCATTTTTCGGAAATGGGATTCGGCATTGAGGCGTTAAGAGGCGTGCTGCCACAAAAGCAAGAGAGCAAGCATACGGTGGGCAATGGGATGTTTTCAAAAAATAGGGTCTGGGGTCTTTGGGTTGGTTTTGTTCAAAAGAGGACGAGATCCATGGCTTGTTTGATATTTCTTCATTTCATCTCTTCGTTTCTACATTTAACACATTTGGCCGCACACCAAGATGCGATGAAGCCTTTACTTCTTTGCTTTTACGCCCCTTTTTCTCTCCTTTCTTGTTTTCCCTTTGTCATGGCATTACTGGCAAGTAGCACTAGGAACATGACGGGTATTATTGCTCTGTCCGAATTCTTGTGTGCCCCAACGTTGAATGATCTGATCCGTTTTCCTTTTCGTTTGATTCAACTCCGTCGACGGTGACCAACGCCTCATATAACTGCGAACCTCGTATGCCATCCAGCCTCTTCTATCGTGCTCCTACAGATGCATTCCGCCGTCCTCGTCGTCATCGCCGAGACCTCTCATGCGCTCCTCCATGGCCCGCCGCAGTTCATCGTCCGCTAGGCGTCCACCTGTGCCGTTTGCTTGCTGAGTAGATTGGGTGGATTGCGTGGGGGGGCCACCCATCGTGATCACACCGTTGCGTATCGTGCCCATCTGGAATGTACCGTCCATCCAAGCAGGGTGTGACGAGCTCGCCGCAGTAGTCGACGAGCCACCCCCACCACCACCACCGTTGGTCGCCGGCGCACCCTGACGTCCAGAGGCAATCCTATCCTCCTCCGCAGCCGCCGCACCAAGCCCGTTAGTCGCTGGGATCCCATTCCCATTAATACCGTTCGCGCCGGCGACCGACTCGCTCGTGATCCCCCTCCGATCCGCCGCCCCCTGGCCCGCCTCCTCCTCCTCGATCTCCTCTTTACTCTTAAACTCGTTCCACGAGTGTCCCCTGCCCTCGACCTCGTCGCGGATAATCTGGACGCGGTCGCGCATGCGGGCGATGACGACGTCGTTTTCGCGAATGGCTTCGACGCAGGTCGGGTCCGGGCCGTGCCCCGCCGAGGCGTCGGTTGCCGAGTCGAGGGTGGTGGCGTCACCTGCTGCGTAGGGGGCGAGCTGGGCGTTTGAATATTCGAGGTGGAGGATGGAGTTGCGGATCTCGAGGGCTTTGAGGTGGAGGGTTGGGAGGGAGAGGTCGCGGAGGGCGGAGGCGAATTGGGTTGGGGATATTGGGCGGGTGTCTGCTGACATTTTGGGCGGTGTGTTGGTTTGACGGGTCGGGAAGGTTGAGTAATTTGGTTTTGGCGAGGTTTGGTATCCGGTTGTTTGCTGGCGAGTTTGCGACTTGGGTGTTTGGTCTCGTTGAGAAAGAGACTGAAGGTATCGGTGTGTGAACAAGAAAGGTAGATGAAGTTCTTGGGCAGCGGAAGAGACGGGAAGAAGGTGAAAGCGAATGAGAAACGACGCTGTTCACGAGTGGGGGATTGGACAGAAGGATGGACGGAGGGGGGACGATGACGATGTGCAGGCTTGGTGTTTGTAGAAGAAAGAGACGTCCTCCCAGGTAGATGCCGTGCAACGTCACCGCAGGTTTTCTGCCAGCTGGAGAGGTGAGGTAGCTTCCTTCCGAAGCTGAGCGCGGGGTGGGAAGGTGGTGGAAGGTGCAGTAGAAGGTTCCGGCGGTGGGGAATGAGCAGGGGCCGGTCAGGTACGGATACCTTGATGGAAAATGACGAAAGGGGGGAGTGCACTGGCAGGTAGGTAAGTTAGGTACTCCGTACCTTCCATTAGGTCTTACCGCCGACGGACTTATCCGCTCGCCTCGTTATCGATTACGTGCCTTAGTTCCTGCGTGCTTACCAAAGCCCCGGGGATGGGCCGGAAACTGCCCTTCGCCGGCTGCCGCGGTCCCGATCCCCGTGGTCGGAACAGGTACCAAAGAATTTACGGGCTTCGATTGCGTCTTGGAGATTGAGCCACTGCGACAACGCCGCCCGCGCGCGACGACGACGAACGACCACCACCACTACCTCCACGAACCAGCGACAAACGTGCGACGACAGCGCTCACATTACGAGAGGTGGCATACGCCTACAGCATTTGCTAAAGGGAAACCTCTTCGTCGACAAGCAGCCGGCGCATTCATGAGTCTCTAGCTTTTTGGTGCGCTCCCGCGAAACGAGCAAAAAGAGACGGTTGCGTCGCCCACCCAGGGCGGCTCTAGGAAGCCATGAACGCCTCATTCGGCCTCGTTTCCTCGAGATCGTTCCTACACCTCGGCCTGCGCGCCGCGTGCCGTTCCGCGCCGAATACGACGAGCTGTTCGCCCGCGTCACGACTTCTTTCAATATGCACCATCACCTCCTGGCGGACGCCCGCCGCTACCCGGACGTACATATCGGGCCCCTCGCCCCTCCGCCGAAGACAATGGCCGTCGCTCAGCCTCGCCGCCACAACGGCCGGTAAGTCAACACAAAGATGGGCTTCCTCCTCCTCCGCATCATCATCATCACCACCCAAAACCGACTACAAGAACGAACCCCTGCTCCGCGAATACGTAGACCTCCCGCTCGACTATAAGGACAAACACGGCCTGCGGTTCAGGGAAGAGAACAAGGACCTCTCGGCGGCAGAAGCCAGAGCCGTCTTCGGCGCCTCCCTCAAGCCCGCCGCCGCGAACCGGCTGCTGCGCATCATGCACGGCCGCCGCGTCGCCGGCACCCTCGAGGACCCCGCCTTCGCCATCAACACCGCCGCCTTCACCGCGCAGCAGCGCGACGCCGCGCTGGCGTACCTCCGCGAGAAGACGCCCGTCGACGAGGTCCTCAACGCGGGACTCCGGGCCGAGGACGAGCTTGCCGCGCTGGAGAAGGACCTCGCGGAGGAGGAGAGCAGTGCTGACGAGGGTGATGCTGCCTCGTCGACCGCCGGTTCTAAAACGCCGTCTCTCCGCAAAGAAACGCCCGTCGTCAAACCGGACCCCGTATACGGCTACAGCGCCTTCGACGCCATCCGCGCAAAGAACCAAGCCAAAGCCGCCGAGGAAGAGGCCCGGCTCATCGCCGAGGCCGAGGCAAAGGGCATCGAGTACAACCCGGGCACGCTCTCCATCCCCATCAAGCGTCCGCCCATGACGCCGCGCATGGCGAAGTGGACGGAACAAGGCGCCGCCTCGGACCTCGCCGCTCCGCCCCCCCTCACGTTCGCCGAGCGCATTCTCCCCTCCGCGGCCGTCGTCTTGTTGCTCGTGGCTTCGCTGTCGGCGTTCGCGGCGGTGTACACCCCGCCCCGCGACGCCGACCGACTGTTCCCCGAGGTGAGCGCCTCGACGGCAACGGTGGGCGCGCTGATCGCGCTCAACGTCCTCGTCTCGGTCGCGTGGCGCGTGCCGCCGCTGTGGCGGTTCCTGAACCGGTATTTCGTGCTCGTGCACGGCATGCCGCGGGCCGTGACGATGATTACGGCGAATTTCTCACACAGTTCCCTGGGCCATCTGGCGACGAACATGGTGGGGCTGTGGTTCATGGGCACCGCTTTGCACGACGAGGTCGGGCGGGCGAACTTCCTGGCGATTTACCTCGCCTCCGGCGCCGTCGGGTTCCTGGGCAGCTTGACGGCGTTTACGCTCCGCGGCTTGTTGACCGTCTCGACTGTGGGTGCGTCAGGCGCCGTGTTTGGCGTCGCGACGGCGTACTTTTGGATGCACCGGTTCGATTCGTTCAAGGTGCTGGGCTTCCCGCCGGATCCGATGAATGGGCCCCAAGGGTTGGGGTTCATTGCGCTGATTTTGGGTTTCCACATTTATGCGTTTTTCAGGCGGGGCAAGCAGACGATTGATCTGACGTCGCATCTGTTTGGTATGCTGGCCGGGTTAGTCGGGATTGAGTTCGTGACGGGACGGAAGGCGGAGGGGGCGAGGGTGGATGGGTTGGAGAAGAAGAAGGCGAGGGGTGATCTTGTTGCTGATGCGCCGCCTCGCGATGGACAGGGTGACGGCGGGAATGATGTCGAGGCTTAAGAGAGAGTCAGGAGATACGTCTAGATGTTTTGCTCTCCGAGGAGGAATGGGAGGGTGAATTGTGTATAGTTACAGTCCTTTGTAGAACTCATGGGATATTAGATGGTTGACCCCTATTATCACCCCCTTTGTTGGGATATTAAAATTTTGTAAATTTGCATCTCGCTCGCAGACGAGTAGAGGGAACGTTCTTCTCGGGGTCTGAAATGCGACTAGATTTTTGTGTTGAGATCATGACAATGTTATGCAGGTAGCCAACCTATTTCTATTTTCGATGGCCTGTTTCCCGACCCCATATGTCGGTCCAGTGTGTTGATAATTCCCAGCGTCATACTATCTTACAAAACTAAATCAAGTCCACGCCATATTGTACAGTCGTTTTCGTCCTTCTTACAAGAGGAGAGTCCTCTCTAGGTGATGTTACAGGTTTTACAAGGTTGTGCTGCCCGAGGCAATCAAGCAGGCATAGGAGTAGCCGCCGCCGCATCCCGAGCAGGCGTAGCATCCTTCTTAGCTGCCTTCTTCTTGTCGACCCGTCGTCGTCCCACGGGCTGACACCAAATCTGCATCGTCACGACATTGATGTCGGCAATCTCAACATCAATCACATCGTCAGCCTGCACGTCCGCGAGCCTACTATAGCCCTCCAGCCTAATCAGGTCCACCGAGGCGCCCAGGTTGTAGAAGGTGCTCAGCCGGCCCCTCAGTCCAAACGCGTAGACAGCATCAACGACGAATTTGAACGTCTTTGGCAGCGGCGCCTCGCCGAAGCGCCACGCGCGCAGTAGTGCCTGCGCCACCCAGTGCGTCGGGGCGTTCTTGTTGTCGACCTGCTTGATCTGGCGCTGGAGGGCGTGGAGCATCGGCAGCGCGTCGGAGAGGGAGCGGTGCGTCCAGGGAAGGATGGCGGCGGCATTGTCGTCGGACAAGAGCTCCTCACCGACGAGGGAGCGGCCCGTCTTGCGCTCGTGGGCGAGGGCGGCGTGGATCTGCCAGTGGACGACAAGGTCGTTGAAGCGGCGGATGGGACTGGTCGACTTTGCGTAAGCGTCGACGCCGACGGCGTAAAAGGGCGCCGGGCTGACCGAGAGCTCCGAGTTGCCGACGTAGACGAGGAGCCGGTGGATGTGCTCCGCGGGGATGGGTTTTCCTTCCGCCGACAGGGGGTCGATGTGCTCACGGCGGTAAGAGGCGAGACCCTTTGCGTTTGTGACCGCGTCCGGCTGGGTGCTGTAGGGGACGGGGATGGCGCGGGCCTGGCACCACTTTGCGGCGACCTCGCCAGCCGTGTGCATGAGAGTCTCGACGAGACGGTCGGCCTTGCTGTACGTGGACGTGTTGAACTCGATGAACGGATCACCCTGCCACGCCATCGACCTGGTCAGGTCATCGGCGTCGCCTTTGACGATGATATGGTTGAGAGATACCTTGGGGGAGTCGAACCTGGTCTCGAAAGGCGGCAGCTGTCCCTTCTCCACGCGGCGGTGCTTAAGGGCTTTGCAAAGGCGATTGATGAGGAGAAGGTCATCCCTATCTTCCGGGGACAAATCCGCGGCGGTAGTGATACGCTTCACAGGCTTGGGCGGCGGGGGCGGCTTGCCCACGACAAAGGTCTTGCTGACCGTCTGTGTTTCAAGGCCGGGCAGGATGCCAGTGACTTCATGCTTTGGGATGTGCAAAATATTTTGCACAGTGCCTGGTTCGACCTTGTAATCTAGGATGTTTCCTATCTCGTTGACTCTGGCGCTGAACGTCAAAGACGGTCGGCCGGGGTTCAGCGAGAACTCCTGCTCGAGCTCCCGCGGCAGCATCTTTTGGTTGTACCCAGGCATGTACAAACTCGATGGCGCCTTCTCAAGTTGACGAGCGAGCGCGGACTTGGGGTCGATACGGGAGGCGGGGTCGGCAATGTGGATGTGAATCCAATATTCCCCCGGCTTCTCGGCCACCTCGACAGAGAAGCCGTCATCCACATCGGCCGTCTGCTCAGAGTCCACACAAAAGATTGTCGTCTTTCCCCAGTCTCGCCTGTGGCCCTCAGCAATGTCAGGTCGGAGTGATTCGTTGACGTCCACGAGGGGTGTCTCCATGGTGGCGCCTCGCTGGACCGTAGTGCCCGCGAGCTTGTACTCGTAACGAGCTGGAATATCCCAGGGTGGAATCCAGCCAATCTCCTGAAGGAAAGTGAAGGCTGTCCAGTGCGCCACCCACTCAGAATCCTTGTAGCAGTCCG